CAATGTTCTTACTAAATATTTAAAAAAAAAAATATAAGAAAAATATAGAAGATATACACGAAAAAGTAGTGTTTAGATTCCGCGAAAGATATTCGAACTCATACTTTGAACGGGCGATTTCTTTTAATCTCATAGCACGATTTCACTTAGCGACGAGTTACATGAACATTCGACCTTAAACCTGGTTAGAAGACGAGTACAGGAAGAAAGGAGAGAGAGAGAGAGAGAGAGAGGGGGAGAGAGGGAGAGGAAAAAATGATCAAACATAAATAAAAATGAATGAAGGAAAAGCACAGAACTTAAATTGTTCGACATTTTTTTCCCCTGTCATTATTCTCTTTCCATTGTTAAACCAACATTCACAATATAAAAGTAGCAGAGCAGCAACTGTGCGGTCTGCATATTTGCAACTGAATGATTTTTCTTATATTCAAAATATAATAAATGATAATAAAGTCTCAAAAAAATTGTTAGTCGAAAGAATTTTCCATCTGCAAAAAATATGTTCCGACGAATTATACTTGAACAGCTTAAAGAGTCTCGAAAATATCCAGCTCTTAAAGTGAATCGATAAGTAAATATCTTGTCCAATCGTTGCGTAAGAATCTAATAGAACGGATCTAATCTTTCTCGTCGCGTTAAAACGGCAAAGAAGTGAACAGGAGCGCATCCTACGATGACGAATCTAACATCATTACGGAACAGATATATCCTACCTTTGTCGTAAACATAGAAGTGATTTTTCTCGCGCGGATCGACCGCGCAACATGCTCCGACATAAGCGGCCCACCTGTGCACTGACAACGCCGGCGACAATCAGCTGTACATGATAGCACGGATACGATTGACGCCATTCTTGATAATCGAATTTGCGGCTTCCGACCTTGCGTAAGCGCTACCCTGAACGGGACGTCGGCAAACTTGTTAATACCTTAAACTCATGCAATGCAACATGAGAATGAAACATAAGAGTATTAACGAATTTATTCCAGGAATTTGTCCCAGGAATTTGGCTTGCTCTCGGACTATGGTACGCGAGAAAGGAGGAAGAAGAAAGAGAATGATGAAATAAATATGATAGAGGAAAATTTTCATTCGATAGGATAATTTTCCTAAAAAGCTTTGAAAAATACATCTTTCTCAAAATTATTATACGTCCCAGACAGCACAAGGATGTCCTTAGGACGTCCAAAGGGCATCCAGGACATACATGTAGGATATCCTGAGGAACATTTAATTGACCAAACAGGATAAAGAAATTTTTATTTCTTTCAGTCTGATTAGTCAACGGAATGCTACTCTATTCCTAGGAATAAATTTTGGAACGCAAAATCCACTAAAACCCAATTTTAATTCAAATTTATTTTTTGGAGTAGAGAAGCGCTTGATTGGCCAATCAGAACAAAGGAAATTTTGTTTCTTTTATTCTGATTGATCAATCGAATGTCATTCTACCCTGAAAATTCACGCTCTCCACATTGTAAGCAAGTATAGTATAGCAAATATATAGCGTGAGCAATGTGGAAGTATGCGATTACGGCGAGTTCCTGGCAACTTTTCTCCCGATCGAAATCGTTGACGATATTCGATTATTCGATGCGCCTGGATTGTGTTCCAAAATTAATTTCTTTGGGATAAAGTAGCATTTAATTGACCAAACAGGACAAAGAAATTTTTATTTCTTTCAGTCTGATTAGTCAACGGAACGCTACTCTATTCCTAGGAATAAATTTTGGAACGCAAAATCCACTAAAACCCAATTTTAATTCAAAATTTATTTTTTGGAGTAGAGAAGCGCTTGATTGGCCAATCAGAACAAAGGAAATTTTGTTTCTTTTATTCTGATTGATCAATCGAATGTCATTCTACTCTGAAAATTCACGCTCTCCACATTGTAAGCAAGTATAGTATAGCAAATATATAGCGTGAGCAATGTGGAAGTATGCGATTACGGCGAGTTCCTGGCAACTTTTCTCCCGATCGAAATCACGTGCCGGCCGCGCGAGTCTCGCATCTTTGCTTGTATCGCGCGCATATATGATATGAAATGGTTATTGACCTGCGACCGTCAACAATCAGGCTAATCAGTCCCGCTCGAGGTCGTCCCGCTTTTACGAATCTATGTCAGAGTTAGGAGACAATCGCGATGAAGTGATAATCCACACGCCATTTCCTAACAGGGGTCTCCATTCCCTCGTATATACAACTCGTTCTACATGCAAGAATGTGTTTGACATGAAGATCTCATTATGATTCACATTAACGGAACCTCATTACCTCATATGCTTACGTTCGATTAGAATGATAGCACGTGTGAAAGGTAGTATATATGCGACTGAATTTGTTTATTTAATCGACAAGGATGAATGAAGACTATATTTATTGCATATCTTTCCTCGGTATTTTCCTCTCTCATTTTTTATAGATGAACCAATAGCACACTAGAAGAAAACTAATGCCACCTTTTTAGCGAGCACTGATAGAAAGTATCGGACCTGTACGATTGGATAAAATCTTCTACCATCGTTTGATGATTTTGTAGCAATCGATTTTTAATGTTATTAAAATGAAACTCATTGAAAAACTAAAAGTTAATTAGAAGAGAGAGAAGACACAGCTAAATCTCTTTTAATATTATAAAAATATTCCATTTGTGCCACTGTACGTCATATGCCAAAATGCTAAATTTTACCGACCAATGTCAATGACACGAAAAGATTAATAGTTATGTATACTATAATATATTTATATTTAATAAAACTTTACTCGTAGAACAATTCCGCGCGTACCTACTATATAATTTCTTTTCTTCGTAGAAATGTTTATATATTCCTTGGTACAGATCATGGAAGAGAGATTTATTATGTTTCACAATCTATCATGATCGCGATAAAACTCACAATGATTGTGTCGGAAGTGTAAAAGTCAATGACTCACTTTGAGATGTTGGATAAACCATCGTTTTGAAGTTTCGCATTACAGCCACTTTTTAATCCTTCTTCCCCCAGATCAATTAAGATAATAAAAGTTATAAAGCACAAAAGCAAGCCGCTTTCTTATTCACGATCATTATAAAAAAAGATTATCTCCAATATACAGGGTGAGTATTTTAACTTGAAACTGTAAAATATCTCGGAAAGTAAGCTTTATCGAAAAAAATGTTTCAAACAAAAGTTGTAGGGTTCGGAGGGGGCCACATGATAAAAATATGGATTTGATCTTGAATGACCTTTTCAAGGTGAAGTCAATGTGATCGACGTTTTTTTAAATGGAAACCCCCTTTTTTATTGCATATTCTTGTAGCTTATCTCGAGAGCTTTCCAAAACACTATAATAAAGTATTTTTCCATTAAGTACTTTAAAATATTCAGTTTTCGAATCTTACCGTAATACTTTATTATAGTGTTTTGAAAAGCTCTCGAGATAAGCTACAAGAATATGTAATAAAAAAAGGGGGGTTCCATTTAAGAAAACGTCGATCACATTGATCTCACCTTGAAAAGGTCACTCAAGGTCAAATCCATATTTTTATCATGTGGCCCCCTCCAAACCCTACAACTTTTGTTTGAAACATTTTTTTCGATAAAGCTTACTTTCCGAGATATTTTACAGTTTCAAGTTAAAAAACTCACCCTGTACAATAGCGATATAATATAACAATTATAATAAATATTCGCATAAATGCTTAGAAAAATATAGTACGTATTTAAGCGAATACTCTTGATGAGAAAAACCTGTAGCATGTTATTTGATATGAAGAATTCTGATACAAGAAAATATATAGATTTTTTTTATACTAATAAACTTTGAATACATTATATATATAAAGAGTAGTTCAAAATTAAAATTATGTATTTTTATTATAAATGCGTTCAGGATGCAAACGGAACTCTTAATAAACTTAATAAACTTCCGGTTTTTAAATATGAGATGTTAACTTCACACCGACTATATATGCTTTCTCAGGTATTTTTTTCTGTCTAAATAACTCGGTGTATATGTGATTTCAAGTTAACATTATCAAAAGCATGAAATATATAGAGAAAACAATTTTTTACATAAAAGTTTTCTCGTACTTAATATTATTTATCAAATATAAATATATATAATATATTGTATATAAAATATGTCCATATATATTTTTTTTTTCAAATAATATCGCCAAAAAGATATAAAATTATCCTCTTATATTTAAATTATTCATGCATTATTTAATATACTGTATATTATGCACGCATGCAACTGTATGAATGTGAAATAAAATAAGTTGTTATCAAATACTACGTGTGATAAAAGCGCGATATAGACGTGACACACATTACGTTGCGCGTAAGATTTAAAAATTTAAAGTAAAATTACTAATGTATAAGATAGAGATATTTTCAAAAATATCTCATTTTTAAAAAATCCAAATCCACTGTTATAAAGAGTATATTAAAAGCCCTATATAAAACACATTTTATCTAAAATATTTTTTATATATCTCATAGTTTCGATGATATTTGCTCAAAATCATTTATATGAATTATCTTTGAAAGAATTTTCAATCTTTAAACATGTGTGTGTGTGTGTGTGAAGGCGATCTTATAAAAAATATGTATCTTTTATTTTATTTTAAGCTATTCTCTCTACAATATATCCAAAGCAAATATTTAAAAAAAAAAGCAAAGACATTTCCGTAGGTTTTTTTTCTGTATGTATTGTTAAAAGCAAAAAGAACGCAAAGATAGCTGCGATGTTTGTACATACGAGATATTATGTCATTACCAGTCGAGTAATGTGATATTACATTTATTACAGTATGCATTCAAATGCATACCGATCCCGATATGGAATATCATTTATCGACATATCGCTCTCTATTAGATCATCCGACACCAGTCGATGATATTCTTGAACGTAATTAACATATAAGCATGAACGTTTCTCGTATTCGACTTATCTTTAAAATATTAATTATATTAATGTTAATTGTTGTTATCACGTTAAATCATTAATACCCGTTTGCCGAAGCCGAGGAAAGAGAGCTTCCTCCTAGATCCATCGGTGTTCTCCATCCTTCACCGGCCACAGCAGCTGATGGCGCAGCTATCAGCTTAAGGCTGTGTCTTTTTCCTGGGTGCCCGGCCGATCCTAAGTCGGGATGGCGATGTCCACATGTGGAGTAGTCGCTGTGATGACAGCTCCGTTCTGCTGGCTGCTGAAACACAAATGACCACAATTGCGATTAATACAGTACAATAGAATGGCTCTGACAAGAATAAAACCAGTTATATTTATTTAGAAGATTAACATATAGGATATACACATTCTAAGATTTAATCACGCGAGGTATCTGTATATGTGTTTGTTTAGCGAAACAAAACTATTTATAAGTTGTGAGGTTTATCAGAGAAATTCAATGAAACGGTCCATTTACAGAATCAGACCAAACGCGTTTTATATGTGTCTTAATAGATTCTAAATATCTCGGTATTTTGGTATTCTTGAATATTTTCGACAAAGAGGCATTGGAAAAATATATAAAATACTAAAAATATAGAATACTATATACTATAGAATATTAAGAGTTAATAAAAGTTACATAATTATATGAGTGTACATAATTATGAACAAATCGCGGATCAAACGAGGGGGATTTTTTGGAATAAAAAGGATATGATACGAACCTTTTTGAGGAAATCATATTAATAATACCGATGTCGCGAACACTTGTTCGCAGACTAATCGCAAAGAGCTCTCATACGGTACGGCTGCGGCCGCAATAAATACGTCTCGTCGGGAATAACTGATGGAGGATTCTCTTTTTTTCTCTCTACCACTTTTAACACCCACCATTACACTTATTGTTAGAAATATCTTAGGCACGAAGCCAATATCAACACATCGACTTTTTTAATTGAATGCAATCTAAATGTCGATATTTCAATTTCGATTTCGTTGTACTTGCTCAAAATCGAAATCATAGTTACATGCGAATACACCTTAACATATTCTCAAAAATTAAATTCGAAGATTGTGCCGTGAACGAATAATTCATTATACATGCCTCGTTAGCTCTTACCTCGTTTTCTGTTATTAATTATTAATTTATCGCGATGCGGTGACAATCATGAATAGAGTCAATGCAGTAAGTCTTCTCTTACTTGTCTTCGGTTACGCGTTGTAACAAGATGAAATGTAACGGCACGCACACTTTTCTTTCTTGAGACATGTGTGTTCGTGTGATTGGCAATCAACATAATTTAGTCTGTCGCGTGGCTTGACACGTAATTTTTCATCTTTGTTCTACTGTACAATTACATAACGACGGTTACATCAACGTTCGACATACAATATTTGTCTCTTTTGTGTATTACAATACACATATTATTTGTAGATACAATACATTGTATCTACAATTCACTATATATACTTATATTGTTTAGCACTTTGACACTTTTTTACTTTGCCATGTCTTGAGATTGCCAATTTTCGCAAATACACTAGTAATGTATCGTTTACTTTACTTCGGGATATCTCCTACATTCCCAAGAATGTCATAATGATCTTAAAAACTCTTGACGATCGGTTTCATTTACACAACAGACTGCATAAATATGAAATACGCGAATATATAGATATATGGATCTAAAGATGTTTTCACAACAATGCGATATTACATTCGTCATTTCTTATCAATATAAAAATAATTACACGTTATATTCATGTATGAAACTAGACTTCATAAATATTATTTACTCGATCTTATACACATATGTATATATCTTCCTCTCCACCTATTGAAATTTTTATATTTCTGTGTAAAGTGTTAAAGGAATGGTAGTTACATTCAAAGATACACGATTTTCCGTACGATTCGGGGTGAAAGCACCTTAAACCTGTATTGCAACGTTATAATAATAAGGAGATCTGGTAACCGGCCGATTCTCCATTTGTCATCGTTTTTGTTTGTTCGACGAAAAGATGGGTCCTTTGTAGACGCAACATCTGCTATGACGTTACGTCAAGTTTTCTTATTTTGAGGCGTCTGTTTTCGCACACACTCGCGCTCTTATCCCGTTAGGTTTTATCCGCCATTCATAGAAGGGCACAATACAAGCGGCAAATCGTGCGAGTGAAATCGGTCATATTCGATGAGACGTTAATACATAACTAACATAAAATACATATATTCGAAATACATTGTATATACAAAATCGGTCAGAATAATTTTCTTACATTGCACTGTCCGTGTGACGTAAGCTTGCCGGATATTATATGAACCCGCAAACATGCAAAATATAAATGCGCGACATTCTTGGCAGACATGCTTCATCAAATTTTCAGCGACGTTGACATTAAATTATTGCAGTTATCGAGCGAATGCAAGAATAATATTTCCGGAGGTCGTTTAGCGATCGATCGAATTTTTTATTAAACAAATCGAATGCAAAATAATAGAGCAGTAAGCTTCATTACGAGCCCATTGAATTAATTTTTATTACCCGACAATTGGAGATACATATTATTTTTATTGTAGCCGACTTGTGCGTTAGGCTTAAAATTAATAATGCAGGAAAGAGTTCTTACATATACATATACATGCTTTGTCATGTGCAAATACATCAAAAGACAAAATAAACATCGATTTTCCGTCGTGCATTCTTTAAAGAATATACGCGTTTTTTCCTCTTCAATATTCGAGGAATATCTCCGATGATTGAGGCCGGTAAGCGACGTGACGGATGTCGGCAGGATTTTTCGAGATCCTGCACGTGCGAATGAACGAGACGACTTCTTGTGAGAGAAAGGAGTGCTTACGTTTCCCTCGATTTGGCGTCGCCTTTGTGGGACAAGGTTATATAAAAGACGAGAAAGACCATCGCGAAGGTTTTCGACCTGGTTTTACATAGAATTCTGATATATATCTCACTTCGTAGGCACATATACGAATGCGTACGATGGTGTCCATTAATGGTAGCGCTCATACAGAAATGCGTTATTTAACTATAATATATCCATTTAAAATCTAAGGCAATAAAATAAATAAATAAACATATATAAAAGAAAAGATAGAGCAAGCTTTTCAATTATCTAAAAATTGCATTGTTACTATTAACCTATATAATATAGATTTATTTAAACTTACTTAAAAAAAAAAAAAAAACAGATTTTGCGATCAAGATTTTATGATCTAACCGTCTAGTGGTGCGTTTTACATGACTTAGTTTACAAAAAATAATATTTTTAAATTGCTGCTCTTTTATTTCCCTTCATATCTGAAGATAATATTTTATAATAAATTGTATTCATTGTCAGATAAGAATTGTTATGTGTAAATTAAAGTGTAAAATGGCCTTAAAGATGTAGGGTAAGATGGACCAGAAAAAGAAATGGATGCCGCATTCCTTTTGTAGCCGTCAACAGACCTCGTAAAACCTCCTTCCGTGGAAAATTCCATACTGGGAGCAGATGAGAAGCGCAAGAAGAAAGAGAAAGAACCTCTCGACCTAATCTCTTTTGTAATTTCTGTAATCGCTCGATATTTTTCATTGAGAGAAATCGATTCTGGAATCTGGTTCTATTGTATTAATAGAAACCGTCAGTTTTTTAATTGACTGTTATTTTTGCTTCCTCATAGAGGAAGCTTTGTTTTCGTAACAAAATTTTTTTTCGAGTTTTCTATGCCAATGTGTTTAGAATGTTCCAAAACGTCGAAAAATCATAGGGTGGAGTTCCGAATAGGTGAACCCTCCGATTTTTTTGAAACTACACTATTTTTTGTATTTTTGAACGCTGATTACGAATATGATAATGAAAATTTGCGACAAGGTCATTTTCAAGGTCAAAACTCAAAAAAACTGAAAAAATATACTTTTTTAAATATTATTTCGATAAATATTGATGTAAGAAAAAATGTGTCAAATAAAAGTTGTAGTTCTTGTAAAAATACATCATTTATGTTCTATACATTTTTTGCGTAAAACTGAAAGTTTTCGAGAAAATCGATGTTAAAGAATAAAAACGGCAGGTGAAGTTCCGAAAAGTGCTCACCTCTGATTTTTTTGAAACTCAGTATTCTTACGTATTTTGATGCACTGATTACGAATATCATAATGAAAATTGGTGCATCTCTCATTTTCATAGTGAAAATCATGAAAAACCCATAACAATTTTAGATCTTACAGAGAAAAACATTTTATGTCCTATTAATTTTTACCGTACGATAGTTTTCAACAAAAACGATGGAATCTAAATCTTATATCTGTTCTCCCATCTAAGCATGTACTTTGCAGTACATATACGATTCCACATGGGTTTACAACTTTCCACGTAGAGCGAGGTTCCACGCAAACCTATTTGTCTAGTTTTTCGGTAGTGGAGCCCCCCGCAGGGGGGCGGAACCCACTGTTTCCACGCATACACTTTTTCACGCGAAGCCAGGTTCCACATGGGTTTGCAACTTTCCACGCAGAGCGAAGTTCCACGCAAACCTATTTGTCTAGTTTTTCGGTAGTGGAGCCCCCCGCAGGGGGGCGGAACCCACTGTTTCCACGCATACACTTTTTCACGCGAAGCCAGGTTCCACATGGGTTTGCAACTTTCCACGCAGAGCGAAGTTCCACGCAAACCTATTTGTCTAGTTTTTCGGTAGTGGAGCCCCCCGCAGGGGGGCGGAACCCATTGTTTCCACGCATACACTTTTTCACGCGAAGCCAGGTTCCACATGGGTTTGCAACTTTCCACGCAGAGCGAAGTTCCACGCAAACCTATTTGTCTAGTTTTTCGGTAGTGGAGCCCCCCGCAGGGGGGCGGAACCCACTGTTTCCACGCATACACTTTTCCACGCGAAGCGAGGTCCCACATGGGCTTGCAACTTTCCACGCAGAGCGAAGTTCCACGCAAACCTATTTGTCTAGTTTCTCGGTAGTGGAGCCCCCCGCAGGGGGGCGGAACCCACTGTTTCCACGCATACACTTTTCCACGCGAAGCGAGGTCCCACATGGGCTTGCAACTTTCCACGCAGAGCGAAGTTCCACGCAAACCTATTTGTCTAGTTTCTCGGTAGTGGAGCCCCCCGCAGGGGGGCGGAACCCACTGTTTCCACGCATACACTTTTCCACGCGAAGCGAGGTCCCACATGGGCTTGCAACTTTCCACGCAGAGCGAAGTTCCACGCAAACCTATTTGTCTAGTTTCTCGGTAGTGGAGCCCCCC